GATAAAGAAAGAAGGTGAAGGACTAAATCCCTAAATCCAAATGTAGGGTCTAATACTCTTTTAAGTCAACCTTATAAAACCAGATTTAAGCACCACGCTAGAACTCAACAACTTTGGATTCCAATGCAATACGAGCTATCTGCAGAATATGGTCAAAATAAGTCAACATCATGTTCAGGATGAGGCAAATAGAGCTCAGCCTGTTTTTTTATCTGGGATTTAAAAACAAAAACAGGTGGAGCTCCAATCATACCACCGCACTACTACTACCTGCCATCTTGAGCTTTTTGACTACACCCCGCAAGAACCAATTACACAGAAATGCTTTCACAACTTAGTGTCTTCTTGATACCTGGGATGATCCTGGGCAGTTCTGGAAAGTGTCTTAATACAGGAGTAGTCCATCTTGATCAGCCATTTGGGATTTTGAGAACATGCAGACATGCTCAGACAAAATCCATTTACCAGAAAGGCAGGTCAGAAAACCGTTCCTAATCACTCCTTCTGACCCCTGATGCTTAACTTTGCCCCTTTTTCTCCCCCTTAACTTTGTCCAAGGGCCTGTCACTGATTAATAAATAAAAGCTGGTCAATGACCAAATGTCAACTCGTACAGCATTCCTGGCCTGCTATAGAGTTGCCATGGTCAGGAGGGGGGAGAGCAGCAGGGCAGCCACGACCAGAGGCACATGCCATGCATACCTTTCTCAAGGCTGAATCCCAGAGGCATGATCTCTACAGCCCTTATAAGGTGCTGCGTTGGAGAATGTGATTTATGACACACCCTGGGGGGAGGGGGAAAAGAGGGTCAAAGTTGAGCCGTAAATTACGTGGGGCAGAGCTGACTTCACTTGGGTACATGCCGAGATGTTGCTCCTAATAAATAAATGTACTTCTTTTGAAATTGGCTCATGGTTTAATTAGGGCATCCGTCGGAACCCTGACACCAAAACTAATGTACTTTTACTTTAATTAGCAAGCATCCATAATGTTAAAAGCTGATATTTTATTTTTCAGTCTAGCAGCTTGCAATCTGATTATTAAAGACTGTTGACACTATGGGGGAAGAGGAGAATTTCCTGGGGGGCCCCAAGGGAGGCATATGTGTACTCTGCATCGCTTATCCCTGATCTAAGATGGTTGAAAATACAGGTAGTCCTCGACTTACGATCACAATTGAGCTCAAAATTTTTGTTAAGTGAAACATTTGTTAAGTGAATTTTGTCCCACGTTACGACCTTTCGTGCCACGGTTGTTAAGTGAATCTGGCTTCCCCATCGACTTTGCCTGTCAGAAGTATGCAAAAGAGGATGACATGACCCCGGGACACGGCAACCATGACTGAATTTTGATCATGTGACTACATGGATATTACAACAGTTGTTAAGTATGAAAAACGTTATTAGTCACTTCTTCTGTGCCATTGTGGCTTTGAACAGTAATTAAATGAACTATTGTAAGTCACAGAATAACCTATACACCATTTGAAGAAGGCTAATCACAGTTAAAGAGCAGTAGTAACTTTTAATGCAATTTCGGTATTTGATATTGATAAGCCCATTCTTTGGAACTACTAATAGAAATAACTGGTTTAACGATAGGCCCAAATGCCTCAGCCTGTCAGATAAGATCAATTGGGAACTTTACAGAAAATAATTAGAAGAAAAAAATCAATAGGCAAGCGGACATCATTTATGTTTCATCTCTTCTCTATATAGTAGTTACATTTTCATGTTTTTCTTATCTTCTGAAACACCAATTTCCCTCCACTGAACAATGCAGAGCAACCGGATAGTTGTTAACTAGACATTTATTTATTTGTAAAATTGATAAAACTGCTTTGTTCTTTGTTTTGCAGGGGTGTCCAAACTTGGCAACTTTAAGAGTTGTGGGCTTCAATTTCCAGCATTCATGGGAGTTGGCTTGCTGGCGGATTCTGGAAGTTGAAGTCCATGGTTGCTTAAAGTTGCTAAGGTTGGACACCTCTGCTCTAGAGGCTTTAGCCACTGTAAAAAATTCAAATCACAATTTAAAAACAATGTAATAAAAACCATAAAACTTAAGCAATAACAAACTACAAAAGCACCCATCTTCCGATAGCTACTTAATCAACATAGATCATGTATGTGTGTACATCAGGAGTGTGAAACTCAATGCCTGTGTGCCAGATTCGGCCGATAGTGTGCTTAAATCCGGCCCATGGGGCCGGCCTGGAAATATCAAGGGATTGACCCGTGGTGCCTCTGGCGGCTAAAATGGGCCACATGCGTCCCCCGCACCTCGTTTTCATCCTCCATGGCCACCTGCAGCACTGCCTGCCAAAACTGGGCGCAAAACAGGCCCAGAACAGGCTGAAAAATGGGCCCAGAACAGGCTGAAAAACAGGCTCAAAATGGGCTGAAAAAATGGGCCCAAAACAGGCTGAAAAACTGTGCTCAAAATGGGCCCGAGGCTGAAAACAGCCCAAAACAGGCCCAAAAACAGCCATGTGGCTGGGAGGGTGCTACAGGAAGCATCCGTCGTAGCCCACCCCCCCGTCGCTGGCCCACAGAGAACTGCAATGCTGATGTGGCCCTCAAAGAAATCCAGTTTGACACCCCTGGTGTACATATTATTAGCTATTTATCCAAAGCCTGTAAGCGAAGACCACTCTTGCCTTGGGGGTATAAGCTTCTCCAAAGAATGGGAGTAACCAAGAACAACCATATCTATGCCTCCGCCCACTGTACCTCAATGGGCATTTGATAATTGACCAAGGCTCTTCTTTTGTGATTGGACAACTCAGTTTGAAAGAGCACCAATGGCATGCATTCAACATTCCAAAGGTGTCCCTTGCTGATTCAGCTTAATGAAGACCTAATAAATTACAAACTGCTTAGGAAACATATTTAATCTGATAGCAAGAATGCAAAATTGGTTTCCCAAGGAAGCTTTGCGCTAGCAAAAAGAACCCCTCAAGAATACAGTGAAGGATCCAGCATAATGGAGGCATTACAGCAATCAAATATGTGGTCATAAAATTATTGGGAAGAGTTGTAAATAGAATATTTGGCTTTATCCAAAGGGCCTGTAAACAGAGGATCAGCTAAGGTGTTACAGAGATAAACACAATATCTCTTTGCATTTTAGCATACAGTAAAATGCAATTATGATAATTTGTTTAAATTTAAATTTAGTATTGAATAATGATCTAAAGTCTATGCTAGCAGTATGTAATCAGGAAAACTAACAGAATTAAGCCATCATAGTTTATCTGCTTTGGTTTGGCATATTGTAGCTATCTGCTCATTGTCTTAGTTCATAAACTGTTCTTAAAATTACTTATGGATTAGATTAGAACAATCTTCCAACTAATCAGAACTGCAACTGAAAATATAATTCAATATACTTAAGAGTTATTAAGTTGGTATCTTCGGGTATCACTTCTGTATCTTCTTTATCAGAGCTCTTCAGTGCAGCAATGCTAAAAACAATACAAAAATTAATTCTATAATTGTACAAAAAGCTAACTTGTAAATATATAAAAACATACAGAAACATACAGCTACATGTAGGAAGTAAAGTTAAACAATTGCCAAGAAAGTTTTTCAGACCAGACAGCTAATGCTGTTCTAAGCTTCTCTTTTAGAAGCATAAACAGTATGGCTGGATTCAGATTATAGTAAAATACAATGTAATCAGGTTTTTTTTTAAAATTAGTGTGTTCAATCGACTAGCTATTGTGGTTTATGTATATTTATGGCTTAGTGGGTTGAACTGAACCCACAGAATTGAAGCCTGTTACCACGGTTCAGCAAATAGAGTCTATTCATAGACTATGAATCAAGTCTAGACTTCAGCCATTGGTTAAAAAAGACTATTTTTCATAATCGGAATGAAGAAACCAACCATTTATTATTAATGTCAGCTTCCAATTCCTGGTAGCTGTTACTCATCTGAAAGATAAGTGGTCTTTTATGCTTAAAAAAGTAAGACGTAACTAAAAAAATTAACAGTTCTATAATACAGAAACGTACAATATCAGACAAAACATTTTTTGACTACTGGTAACTTCTAGGGCCAATACTGATTTTGTATAGAAGAACAGCCTTTGTTAGTAAAACTAGTTACTATTTTCTGTTTCTGTTAGTAAAAAAATCAAGCATTCCTGTATTAAGAAATATGGTGTTGAGACAAAAACTAGCAGCTCCAAATCTGCCTCACTCTTAATGTATTTTGAAGTTTTCCCATGACCCCAGACATCATCTTAATGACGTACATTATCTTTCCCCACATCTTTGGCTGCAATAAAATATATATAAATATAAAAACTAGAAACGTCAGGAGAAATGTCTTGTTATAAACAAAAGCCAGATGTAGGGATTCTATTTTAAAAGACACAAGAGTTGATCTCCTTCAAAATAAAGACCTTTCCTTCTACTCGCTTCATACCATGTCTGACCGGAGTAATTTTCTAGAAATAGCCAAAATAGAAACTGCCTTGCAAAACCTGTTTGTAAAGATTTGTAAATTGTAATATCTGACTTGGTCAGTTGAACTATTTGCATTTCATTTTACAGTGGGGTGCCAAAATACAGGCTCACACGTAGCATAATGTTATTCTAAAGCAGGGGTCTCCAACCTTGGCAACTTTTAAGCCTGGAAGACTTCAACTCCCAGAATTCTCCAGCCAGCTGGCTGTGGAATTCTGGGAGTTGAAGTCCTCCAGGCCTAAAGTTGCCAAGGTTGGAGACCCCTGTTTTAAAGGACTCAGTGTATGTTCATGTGGAAAGGAAGAAGACACCCAGAGGTCACAGTGCACCCATAGAGTTGACATCCAAATGTTTGATATTTAGAGGAATTATTGACTCTGTCATTTGTATCTCAATAACTGTCTGGTTTGGCACAGCAACCAAACAGGACAGGTACAGACTTCAAAGGATAGTTAGGACTGCAACCAGCCTGCCTTCCATTGAGGATCTGTACACTGCACGAACCAGAAAGAGGGCTGGGAAAATATCTACAGACCCCCCCTCACATCCTGGACATAAACTGTTTCAATTTCTCCCCTCTGAATGCCACTATAGCGCACTGCATGCCAAAACAATTAGATTCAAAGATAGTTTTTTTCCTCCTGTGCGATCGTTCTGCCGAATGCCAAATTCTCACAGCACTGTCCTAAGCCTAAATATATTTAGCCATGTAGTAGGCTGTATTGATATTATCCTTCTCATCTTTCCTACTGTCCCCTCTCTTATTGGTATCTATGATTTATCACGTTGTTGTATATTATGATTAATGATTGCAACTACAATCTATGATATAGGACCTATCACTTTGTTATTTATAAATACACTGAGAGCTTATACAACGGAGACAAATTCCTTGGCCAATAAAGGATTCGATTCAATTCGATTTTTTACTCTACTCTACTCCATTCCCATTCCCTCTTTGATAGCATTCCTATCAAAAAGAGAAGCATTACGCTCAGATGATCACTGTGGTGAGTTGGGATCCATCACTGTCTCATCCAAATCTCACAGGGTTGTAGCTATATGGAAAAATAGGGGATAGAGGACACTGTCTCCACAACTTTGAAAGCACCTAAACGAAAGAGGGTATAGAAATCCAATTATTGTTCTTTTTTCTTTGATACAGTATACATTTTTGCTGCAGTGGATAAGGACAAACACCAAGGCTGCAATTCCAGAGGGAAGCTGAACAGTTAGAAGACTTCCAGGACTGACAGCATCCCTATCACCCCTCCAACCCAGGACTCGGAATCTATTTCCGTCTTCATCAGAGGTTTCAGTAGTCAATGACAAAGCCCAGTAGACAATAATAACTGGTCCATAATGTATCCTAAGTACATTTGAGGGAAGCTACAATTCCATTTTTACTACAGTTTTATTAATTGACTGAACCTGTGCCATCAAATCCGTATCGACTCTTTGTGTTATAGTTCTCCATTAATCTCAGAGAGGCTTAGTTCTAAGCAAATATATACGTGAGCAGGCTGAAAGTATAATTAGGACCCGCAGATCTATGAAAAAAACATTAGTTCCTGAATTTAATGGGACTCAATTAAGTGAGGAGAGAACTCAAGGGGCCAATCTTGTCTGAACTTGGAAATTAAGCAGAATGGGTTTGGATGGGAAAACTACCAGGGGATATCAAGGTGGAAGGCTTTTCAAAAAACATTTTACAAAAAGGTAAAGACAAAACACTTTCATACTACTTCTAAAAAAAAAAACCCTGCATAAATAACATCTATGAAATCAACAGGCTTTGAGAGGGTGGAAATATATTGATATAAAACAGTATTTTTGATCATACCTTTCCAACATGGCTGCTAGCATTAGTGCTTCCCCAGATAGTAATATAGGTCACTTTCAGGGATATGGGGTAGGGGAGGTTTGTCGTTTGGTAGTTGGAAAACCAACTACCAGCCGATGTCATTGAATGTGCAGTTGGGCAGGATTTAGATTTCAAGCAGGTTCTTCTCCAATTTATCTTTAAAGATAGTTCGTTTCAGTTCTATGATACTGTCACTCTTGCCATTAATGAGGTTCATACTACTCTATTAAATGTACGTAGAAGCTCATCGTTTATTCTTTGCCTCTATTGGCTTTCTGCAATACTTCTCTGTCAGAACTACTTCCCTCTAAGCCAGGGGTCTCCAACCTTGGCAACTTTAAGCCTGGAGGACTTCAACTCCCAGAATTCCCCAGCCAGCTTTGGGAGTTGAAGTCCTCCAGGCTTAAAGTTGCCAAGGTTGCAGACCCCTGCTCTAAGCTACTACTCTTCCTATAAGGAAACACCCATGTCCACACTGTACCTTCCCCAATCAACAACAGCATGTTTACTTAATGTTGGAATTAAGAGTACAGATAGTCCTCGGCTTACAATTCATTTAGTGACCATTCAAAGTTACAACGGCACTGAAAAAAGTGAACAATGACCTTTTTTCACTGTTATGACCTTTCTAGCATCCTCATGATCATGTGATCAAAATTCAGATGCTTGGCAACTGGTTCATATTTATGACCACTGTTGGGTCCCAAGATTCAGTGATCATCTTTTGTGACCTTCTGACAAGCAAAGTCCATGGGGGAAGCCAGATTCACTTAACAACCAGGTTACTCATTATCAATTGCAATGATTCACTTAATGACTGTGGCAAGAAAGGTCATAAAATGGGGCAAAACTCACTTAACAAATGCCTCACTTAACAACAGAAATTTTGGGCTCCATTGTAGTCATAAGTTGAGGACTAACTGTATTGGTAGTCTTCGGCTTACAACCACAAAACTTCTGTTACTACTAAGCAAGACAGTTGTTTATTTAGTGCCTCATTTCATGACCCTTTTTTGCCACAATTGTTAAGCAAATCACTACAGTTGTTACGTGAATCATGCAGTTTTTAACTGAATCTGGCTTCCCCACTGACTTTGCTTCTCAGAAGTCAAGTGGGAAGATTACAAATGGTGGTTACACATCCCGGAGACAGTGCAACTATCATAAATACATCCCAGTTGTCAAGTGCCCAAATTTTGATCACATTACCATGGGGATGCTGCAACGGTTGTAAGTGTGAAAACTGGTCATAAGTCACTTTTTTTCGGTGCCATTGTGACTGCGAATGGCCATTAAATGAATGATTTCAAGTCAAGGACCATCTGCACTTCAGGTCTTCCCTGCTCATTCATCTGCCATCTCTCTTATGTTCCAAGTGTTTCTCAAATTTGGTAACTTTAAGATACTTGGGACCAGATTTCCTATTTTGTTCCAGATCAGACTTGGGGGTAAAGCTTTTAGATTGCTCAAGGTCTATATTTTTCCAGTACTGCCCTCAAGTTCTGCTACAACCGGCCCCTGGTTTGCTGGAGAAGCTACTCAAAGACTACTTGAAAACCCTTTGCAGCAATTTCCCAGTTCACATGGAATCTCATCTTGTGACAGAGACTGAAATCACAAAGGGTTTAAAAAGTTTTTGTCATAAGAACACTAACTTTTTGATGTTAGGGTAGCTACAGCAATCCTGTGAAGATTTTACTGTAATCCTCTATCTTCTGTAAGATCCACATTCTACAAGATCTAAGTATATTGCCTAAAAGTATGCAAGGAATTGGCTGCCCTGCTAAGGAGTCTGGTCTCTTTGGTACCACAGCACAAATAGTTAGAGATGGACAACCTGCAGCCAGGTATGAGGGGTGATCCCACAGCAGACCTGCCTGGGTCAATATGCTTTAGAATGGGATGATCTTCAGCGGCCATATGAGTGTTTTAGGGGCAGCTTTGATTGTCTTGATTTTTTCATTGTTCCTCAACCAGGATTAGATGTGAGATCATATCATCAAGAAAGGGTTAGTAGGATATTTTTGTCACCCACACCCATCTTGTGGAGCATCATCTCCCTTGAAGGAAGATTGTCCCCCATCTTTGATGTTCCTCAAAACTTGACTGTTGGGAGTCTAAAGGAAATTGTGATTTAATGAGGTAACTACCTTGCTTATAACATCTAATGCTTTCTCTTGGCCTTTTAATATTATTAACATTTTAATTGTGGAGTGTTTTTATTGTTATTTTATGTTTCCAGAGTCACACTTGTGAGATTGTTGGCCAAACAAATATGGTGGATGGATGGAGCACGCAAGGAAGCAGGAATGTGTCGATGAACTGCAACTGAGGATAGGTTTGTTCTTTACGATGTATATTGTTTTATTTAGTTTCCTAATATGATTTTGATGGCTTATTTAGTATCCTATGACTATCACTAAGTGTTGTTATGATTTATGATGAATGTTTTTATGACTATGATCATGATTTATCACCTATAGCTTTTATGTACCCTGAGAACTTATGCACCAAAGACAAATTCCTTGTGTGTACAATCACACTTGGCCAATAAAGAATTCTATTCTATTCTATTCTATTCTATTCCTATTCCTATTTTAAAACTGAGATCAAAACAAAAGTCATTCAAGTGATGAGATTTAAACTGTAGGTCTCAAAATCGCAACTCGACACAGTTAGCCAGGAAGCGGGATGTGAGCTACCTGCACACAGCTTTCAGCTCTGCCGCGATCTCCGGCGTGCAGAGAAAATCCTCCATCACCGCCGCCTCATCGTCCGCAGGTTCTGCCTGCTGGAGAGACACGTCTTCCTGGCGGAGCGACTCCTTCCAAAGGGCCCCGAAAGCGCCCACGTGGAATGCCCGAGTGTTCAGATCCACCGTCTCATAATCGGGGATGTTATTTCTGGATCCGAGGCTGGTTCCAGCCATTTTGGCATCAGGCTTAAAGCCGAGAGGAGACCAGGGGTGAAACGGATGTGGGGGCCCAGGTGGCTTCTGGGACTTGTAGTTTCTTTCCCCTCCAAACGGTAAAGAGACTTGACGCAGTTCAACATGGCACTTCCGATGTTGCTGAACGATAACTTCCAGCGGACTCAGCCAATAAGATCAACGATAAGAAATTCTGGGAGTTGTAGTTCGAGTTCATCGGAGGCTTCCTCAGAAGCCCGGCGCTCGTTCAAGGGGCTGGAAGCCTTCGCTCATTTTTTTCCGGCTAATTATGGAAATAGCCAGGATGCAGATTATTTTTCTATATCTAAATACCAATCGTGCAATTAGAAAAGAATGAAGCGAGAGCGGCAGCGATTGTATACACCCATATAGACTGCGTCTAGCTTTAAATTGTGCTGTAGTTTTATGTAATTTAAAAATCGTGCTATTTAAGTTGACACCCTGTGTGTGTACATTTTATTAAAAAGCTAGGACACAAATTATGGAAGTATGGGTGTGTGCGTGTGCGTGTGTACAATACATAAGCCAAATACCACTCACTCATCACGAAATCTCCAGAACTGCAAAGCCTACAAACTTGAAATTTGGCACGTATGTTCCTCTTGGCTTCTAGGTGCTCACTAAGAAAGGATTTTTTGAAATGACCATCAGACCATCAGTATTTCTTATACAGTATAACTAACATGCTCTGATGTTAAGGAGTTAGACGTTCTACTCCCCCAGTGATGGGATTCAATTTTTTTTACTACAGGTCTGTGGGCGTGGCTTGATGGGCACGGCTATGTGGTCATGTGACTGGGTAGATCAAAAGAGAGAAACTCATTTTAACAATTCTTTTGGAGCAGGGGGTTGGACTAGATGACCTCTGAGGTCCCTTCCAGCCCTGGATTGCCGTGCTGTTTCAAAGCATCCTCTGAACCTGCATCTAGTTTGTGGTCCTTCCTTCCTCTCCTTTTCCTCTCCCTCCCTCCCTCATCCATCCATCCATATATATCTCATTCACATTCCCTTCCCTTCCCTCTTTCTCCCTTCCCTCCCTTTCTTTATTTCTCCCTTCCCTACCCTACCTTCCTCTTTCTTTCTTTCTTTCTTTCTTTCTTTCTTTCTTTCTTTCTTTCTTTCTTTCTTTCTTTCTCTTTCTTTCTTTTTCTTTCTTTCTTTCTTTCTTTCTTTCTTTCTTTCTTTCTTTCTTTCTTTTTCTTTCGTTCTCCCTTCCTCCCTCTTTCTTTCTTTCTTTCTTTCTTTCTTTCTTTCTTTCTTTCTTTCTTTCTTTCT